TGACCCTGCCACGGAATCATGTGTTTGCAAGTCGCCGCCATCAGCGACCATGAACACAGTCACTCCTGCATGTGGCCAGACCGACTAGTGATGAACTCAATCCGTGGCTTTACTCGTACAACATGTCTGCACCACCAGGCCAAATTTGGCTGATTGACTGAGGCAACCAAGCTAAATGCGTAGTATAGTCAGTTGAGGGAGCATCACACGTTGCTCAGTGCAAGAATACCAGCACCGAGTTACCAGAGAGAGAGAGAGAGAGAGAGAGAGAGAGAGAGAGAGAGAGAGAGAGAGGAGCTGACTAGTATTGGGACAGCAATCGCGGCTAGGAACGTTCACGATGCGCAGCTGCAGCCGGCCACACTCAGGGACGCAGTGGCTGCTGCATAACAGGAATGATTGGTACCTCAACATTCACACTCTAGGCTGCTCAAGACTGTACAGTCATGTAGTAGCCCAGCTTGTACTCGTGCCCAGTCACAGTGAAGGCAGGCGCACACCATAATTATATGACCAAGAATCCAAGGCTGTCATCAGGATGAATCAGAATGTGCGTAACCGTGATCATGTGGTGCTGAACAGGTTAATTTCGTACTCCTCAAGACCGCTTGTTGGATCAGCTGAGCAGAAAACAACGACCATCACACACAGGAACTCATGCTACATGGTATGTTGAAGGTTTGAGTATTGCGGGTGATTGGCATTGCTCAGCAGACTAGTTTCATTTCTCATTTTGCCAGGCTGCACAGCAACATTACTACAGTTACACTCACTGAAATCCGACCCGAAGTGCAAAGCTGGTGCCCTGGACCAGTTCCGATTACATCATAGTATTTGTACATGTGTACGTCCAGCCGCATTCATGCCACTTCCAGGGAGTCAAGGGCTGTGCCAGTTGAGGGCGTCAGCTTTGCACTTTGGGTCGGATTTCAGTCAGCGCAACTGTAGTATGCTGCCGTGTCAGCGGGGAAAGGAAACAAATCATAACTCGTGGAGTAATTCAGGCTGGTATGACAGCAGGAGCTCTTGGCTGGACTTTGACCCGTTCGGGAACTACGGACTACATTATGAACCATTGGAATTTTCACTGCAGGGGGGGGGGGGGGGGGGAGGGGATAAGTTGTTTTCGCTCACAAGTCCGGAATGTAGTAATCACATAACCGGCATACCGGGATAATTATACGTTGGCCAAGTCAACTTACTGCATCGCAGCTTCTTCTCCAGGCGAAACGTTGACTCTGGCTGCAGATTCATTAGCATCTACAAAATCAAAGAAAAAAGCGAGAGAAGGTCTCGTTCATAACCTTGCACTTGAATGACGTACATGGAACAAGATAACCACTATCTTCCAGTGACGCACTATTACAGGAAACATGATCTACAAATCAATGTATTGCACATGTCCCAACCCTTCACACAGCTCCTAATCAAAGTCAACGACTTAAAACTAACACAACGTACCTCGTGATCAACAACAACTTGGACTCCAGAGCTGGTCAACCTGGAGGAAACAATTTTAAAGCAGCACGCGGCACAATCACCAAAGCTCCGGCAGGAGGTGTATAACTGAGGCGGTGTATGGAGGAAGTTTTCGGGACTCATGATGACCGATGGACTGGCTATGCAAGCTGATACACAAAGCAACTGATTAACGAATGTCCTCCAGGCCGTATCCCCACATGCGGGGACATTCGTGAGGTATCTGGCCTGTGCGAATCCCCCTGACATTTGGGCAAAAGATGGGTACCAGGAACCGGGTACTTTGATACATGATTGTATTACTTAGTTCAGAGTGCCGCATAACTTGTGTAGATGCATTAGTACTACCCTATAATACTGAATAAATAGTGACATCATCAAAATAGGTGTTAAGCAGGGAGTACTCATTAGACAAACGCTTTTGTCTCTGCGGATCTGCCCTTGTGCCGTACACTCTGCCCTAGCGGCTAGGGTCACCGAGAGAGCACTGTTGCTGGCGGTAAGGAGTCTGGACACGCTGCGACGTGAACACTGGCAGTCTTGCTTACCACTGAATAGATGCAATCTGCGCTGGCATGAGGCCACAGTGGCGGGACAGTGCAGAGCGTAGCTCGACAACGGAGCACTGGTACAGGTAGACACCGCGGTAGTCTGCATAGTGCACATACCCAGCCGTACATGATAGACGACAACAACAACACAACACAACAATGCTGGGCAAGGAGAAGACACTAGTAATACAGTACACTACCCTGATGTGCATGCAGTACACCCTACATTACCATCCTAGCAACACAAAACAAAATTAGCATTATAGCTTACCAACACCGACCCGGCTAATGGTACAATGATGCTGGATGTCTATCCAGATACCCAGGCGCGTACGCAGGGCCACCTCTAGGGGGGTTTCCAACCGAATCCCAAACAATGAGTTTTAATGTTTTAACCCTTTCTAAAGAGCCCTAGGAAATTTTCAAAATTATGCATTTTTTCGTGTTGTTTGGATCATAACTTCAGTTCTACTCACTCAATCTTCATTATCTTGGGCTTCCTGGAAGTGGAAAGGTACCAGAGAGAGAATGAGGTCGACCCCGATAGCTAGGACACGGTACAGTCATGTACATATCCAGCGCGGTAGAGTGCAGCGACGGTGCGAAAAATGCCCCAAACAGGCCCAAACGCGTCCTGCTCCGGCGATTTCGTTTTTCTTGATCGCAGAGTTTCGATTTTTTGCTGTGTACTCTTGAAAATATCACAAGTAAAGCCCCTGCAAATTTGAGCAAATCAGCGCGACGAAAATCTCAAATTCTCGATACTCAAGTCGCACTGTGCGCTTTTGAATTGCCGAGATCGCGGCTCAACTTACGAATGATTTATCTCACGATACATTGTTCGCAGCGCTTCGCAAATTGTTTCAACCGACAGCTGAGAGTTTTCTATTCGACCTGGATATTTGAATCGTTGGATTTGAGCGAGATTTGACTGAGTTACGATCTTTTGAAGGTTTGCATTCTTGCCAGATCGATGATGCGCCCTCCCAAAAAATGCCCAAAAACGTTGCTCGTTTGGAAGATTTGGGGGGGGGGGGGTTCCGGGCAACAGGAACCCCCCCCCCCCCTACACACACACACACACACTACACTTGATGCATACGAGTACAGTACCTCATCAACGCAAGAATTACAGAATCCTACACATTCCGTCTCTTCGACATTGACATGCAGACATCACAAACTGCTTCAAAAACCGAAGTCTTACACTGATCTTCTTCTTGCACAATATAGAACACTTGCAGTGGTCGAACAGATCTGCAGTAGGAACCACAGAAAAAGAACAGATCTGCAGTAGGAACCACACAAAAAGAACAGATCTGCAGTAGGAACCACACAAAAAGAACAGATCTGCAGTAGGAACCACACAAAAAGAACAGATCTGCAGTAGGAACCACACAAAAAGAACAGATCTGCAGTAGGAACCACACAAAAAGAACAGATCTGCAGTAGGAACCACACAAAAAGTTCAGAAAACACCCCATCAGTTGCAATCCTGTCATATTACATTTTTCAGATCCACTTCTCATCCAGCTATAATTATATGGCTTACCTATTGTGACTGGCCAGTACGTCTGTCCCAGCAATGTACCCAATATATATACTACCCATGTACATGTAAGCAGCCTCCAGTCATGAATACACCACAACCACCATCTTAGATCAACTGCCGGTCATTTCAACGCTGCTTTACCAATCACAGTCTAGTACCATAGTTGCAGCAAGTGAACTTTTGAATACAGGCGCTAGTTTTGTGTACGTGCAGGTGTGCAACAGTTTATAATTGTACTACGCTCCCTTGTCTCGGCTTGGTTGGACGCTTTATCTGGTTTGTGCCAAAGTATCTACCTGCATGAAAAGCTCGCTGTGTTCCTCGCAGTGGAGCACTCTGACTTAACTAAGTGCATTGAGCCAATAAAAAAATTGTTAAAAAATGCTCTTGTTGTTCACCTGGCTTGACTGTGACTGGTTAAGCCAGTAACTCTGAGCTCTTCACATGAGACATAAGGGGTCGTCCGCAATTATCGAAAGTTGTTTCCAATCCGTAGTAGCTTCGAAAGTGGGTGGGTGGGTCAAGGCCAGTTACGGATTGAAAAACTTCCGAAATGACACGTGCGCGTGCCACGTGTACGTCTACGTGTAGCCCCTGTTTTCCACGCGCGGCTGCGCGCGAACTGTCTACTACAAATATTTTTGTAGTTCTGGCAGTTTCTGCGCCCCCGCGCGCGCTTCCTTGACTGCTCCTGGGCCGGTGATCATAAAGTTAGTTCGGCGCATTCGACGGCGAGTCGACACTTTCTATTTTTGAGTATCACTGTCTCCTTCGTCCAGAGTACCGTTTTCCATGCACTCCTTTGAAGTCCTTCCGTCTAGCGCTGGCGCTGACGACTGTTATTGACTATGTCCAGACAGGCAACGTTGTTTGGAAAGGCGGTGAAGAAGCAGCCCTTTTTCAAAACCGCTGGTGACTCTGACATGATGTCACTATGACTCATGGACTAGCACTGATTGAGTTTGTTCCATACATGTATGTGTTGGGTTGTGTGTCCATCAATAATATTTTATTACGGACTGGGGGGGGTGGGTGGGTGGGTGAGGAAAAATTTGAAGCTACTACGGATTGGAAAAAACTTTCGATAATTGCGGACGACCCCTAAGA